GCAATCAAATTTTATGTGTTCTCGTCAATTACCAAACCAGCCTAATACTACAGTATTTGAATGACATTTAGCTTCATTTATGACTTATAAATTTGTTTGTTATAGCCCATTTCTCTTGTCTACAGGACTATAATTTAAGGTCTGGCTTACTGCAAATTTGTCATGCCCATTCAAAACGGCAGACCTGACACCGTTACTGAAACTATACTGCTTGCTTAGATGTTTTTCCATATTTTCTTTATATCCTTTATCAGTATTTTGTGTGTATTAGTGGCCAGTGAATCCAACATTAAGAAGGAGAAGGTAAAAAAATATATATACTTAGAACAGGAGGTCGAATGGGGGGGTGGGGGGGAGTTAAGTACATGAGAGAAATGGAGAGCAATCGCATGAAAGAGGGAGAGGGAGATAGAGAAAGAGAGAGAGTGTGTGAGAGAGAGTGAAGTTGCTCCAGGTCTGGCCTCTCTGCAGGGGTCCATCACGGACCGGCTGCCCGAGCTTTCACAGGCACACAGCACCAGCACTCCCAGATCAGCACCAAACCCTGACTCACACACATATACACAAACCATGATGAACACACTACAGACCCCCTTCGCCTCACAAATGTACCACCAAAACTCCCTTAACTCCTCTTGAGCATCTTCATGTCACCATTACAACTTTGGAACCTTTCATCAAGCCATGTCTCTCTATAACAGTATTTACAAGAATGCTGCTTTTTATTTCTTACATTCCGATAAAGTGGGGCCAGACATGATCTCATAACAAGAATATACATCTGGGGCAACTTGTTAGGTGCTGGATTGCAGCAAAATCCGCCACAAACAAGGGTACGCTGCTCTAACACCCGTACCCAAAATTTCTCAAGTCTTTGATCTTTTAAAATATTGATTGATGCATAACATTAACAAAACAAGCCTGCTACCGTTCGCTAATGTTAATGTTAATGTTTCAGGACTTCAGTTTTTTTCAAAGTAAGAACTGTGAAGGCCACATGCAGCCACTGGTAACCCAACGTTGTATCACTAGCAAGTCTCTTCTTGCTAACATATTTGGTTGTAGTTCACAATTAAAACATTATGGAATGTGATGCTTTTAGACTTAAGTCTTAAGTTTTTAGGCCTTTATCATTGAGATCTCCAATGCTGTGAATGCATACATGACAAGTTGGAGTTACTGAGGTGAAATTTCCATGGGGGTTGGTACTGCATCAAAGAGGGTGCTCAAGATTGAGAAAACTTGTAGAATCTTTGAGAATGGCCATATACACAATAATACATGCTGACGAAAAGGGCACTCTGAGGACAGTCTGAGGGCAAATAGGGCAGGGGCACAAACCCTTTCTGTGGGGTCTATCTGTGCATGTGCCTTGCCAGTGTAGTGTATTTTGAGATGTACATGCTTAATTTTAGTTTTTTTGGGGATTTGTCTTCCATGCTAACCTTTGTCCAACAGGCAATAACCGTGAGCCCATGGATGTAACGATGTTAATGCACGCAAATTAAACCCATACTTTTAAGATGCGTCTCCATTTTCACCTACAGTTTGATTTAGCCCAAAATTTCATTCGAGATCATGTCCGGCCCTGCAAGACAAAGAAAAAGTAGAGAAAGCTCTGTTTACGGAATATATACCATGGAATGGAAACCAGTTTAAATAAATGGAAATTAATGTATGTTAAGCATGATGAATCAAATCAGATTTTGAGAAATTTAGCTATAGACAGTTTCATTAAGTAGATGAAGAATGAGATAATGTTTATAAGAAAAGAGTATTTCTCTGCAAGAAGCTTAGCTATAGGATTGTTAGACTGGGTGCTTGCACATTTATTTGGACCAGACAAATTTTGTTAACTCATAAAAGTTTAAAACTATGGACCTAAAAGAGCTTTAAGAGCTTCGCTACTACATTTTTTTTTAAATTGTGAAAATGTTTTCTAGTTGCATGGAAACTGCTAGCACTTCACCTCTCAAGTATAAGCCTACCAACTACTGGTCAGAGGGGTCTGTTGAGCTTTTTTATCAAAGAGAATTCTAAGCATATGGCTCTTCTATATGATCCTCCAGGTCTTTAGTTCAAAGACAAAGGCCCACATCCTTGGGTTGTAAAAAACCTATTCCCCAGTGGCAATCTGCACTGCTGGTTTTGAAGTTGAAACTTGCCAACAAATGAAAAAAATAGTATTTTTGACATTCATTTATTTCTTATAAAGCATCATGTACATTAAGTGAAAGATAACCTCCCAAACTCTTCGGCTCAGTTTGCTCAGTTTGCTTTGACCGTTGCAATGCAGTCAGTTCCTATCATCATCAGCTCAACTCAATCATAACCAATCAATTAAACTCCAGCCAAGATCCTCCCCACGGTCCAACATCTGAAGCCCAAAAGCCAAGAGCACTGGCTGTTCAAGAGTTGCTTTGAGTTCAGTAAGTTTCAATGATATCATGGGGGTGGGAAATGGGTGGGGGTCAAGAGAGAAGAAAACAGAGATTTGCTTAAAGACCCTTATGCATTATGTTTACAAGTTCGCAGTGACTGCAGTAAAGACAACATGGCTGCCGGGGAAGATGACTGTTCCTCCTTCAGTGTGACAGGAGGAGTTGGAGAAAGAGGAGTATGATGGGTCCAGGCTAACAGGGGCTGATGGCTAACTGAGCACATGCAGTGCCTCTCCCGGTCAAATACCAAGAGCAGAAAAGCAGATGATTGATGAGATGATGCTTATAGGAAAAGAGCCCTTCTCTGCGAAAAGCTTTGCTACTGGATTACTGTTAGCTTGCTAGTTTTTGTGTTTATTTGGACCAGGCAGTGTTGATAACTGATCCTTGTTTAAAATTACGGATCTAACTTTAAAAGCTTTGCTTTCTTGAGTCTGAGTATGTTTCAAAGCTTTTGTACGGCTAAACGGGAATTCCACCGATTTTCTGCTTAGTTCAACCATTAAGATGTAAACAAAGTCATTGAGAGTGGGTTGGTTTAAAATATGCTGCCTGATGCCTGAGATATTTTACAATACTTTTTCGATAAAGGTTTGGCCTAAAACAGTTTCAGTTCACTCACGGCAGAGAGGATGGTGTGTGGCAATATAAACCTCAAAGAAAACTTTTTTTTTTCGTCAGATTTACCACTAATTCAAAACTCAGAAGACGTGTAGATAGCCCACTGGATGTGCTGGATAGCAAATACAACGGCTATAACTCTGTTGTAGACATTGCAATCACTATCACATATCATCAAAGAAATCAGAATAATGTCATTTTCTCTAAAATGCACCATTTAATTTTAAAACACTCTGAATCACTTTGTTTACATCTCAACGATTGAATTATACAGAAAATGAGAAATACACTGGAATTCTCTGATCTATAGAATGAATGATCTACAGCACCTTTGTATATGACTATAGGTTTTGCTTCTGCGTTGACTAGGCCTCAATCACAATGAATAAACTTGGTATTTTCTCTTGTGCCAAATGTTCATTCTGTAAAATTAATTAAGATAAAATGGATGTTGAATCTAAAGTAGTCTACATATACCAACATTTACGAATAGAAGTAAGCAAGTTCTATGTCCTACCCCCTTGTTTTTGTGCTACAACCCCATTTCCAAAGAAGTTGGGATGCTGCTCAAAATGTCAATAAAAACAGAGTGCAATGATGTGCAAATCATTTAAACCCTATATTTAGTTGAAAATACTGCTAAGACAACATATCAAATCTTGAAACTCAGAAATGTTATTGTATTTTGAATATATACTCATTTTGAATTTGATGCCAGCAACAGGTTTCAAAAAAGCTGGGACAGGGACATGTTTATCACTGTGTTGCATCACCTCTTCTTTTACAACACTGTAAGCATTTGGGAACTGAGGAGACCAATTGCTGTAGTTTTGAAAGTGAAATGTTTTCCCATTCTTACTTGATATAGGATTTCAGCTGCTCAACACTTCCTTGTCATATTTTTCATTTCATAAGGCACAACATGTTTTTAGCGGGTGACAGATCTTGACTACAGACATGCCAATTTAGCACCCAAACTCTTTAACTATGCCACTATATTATTGTAATATGTGCTGAATGTGGTTTGACATTGTCTTGCTAAAATAAGCCAGGCCTTCCCTGAAAAAGAAGTCATCTAGATGGCAGCATATGTTGCTCCAAAACCTGTATATATCATCCAGCATCATTCAGGACACTTTTCCACTTTGTCTCAGTAAATCTTAAATTTGCTCAGGCCCAGAGAAGGCAACAGCATTTCTGGATCCCTGTTTATATATGGTTTCTTCTTTGCGTGGTAGATTTTTTACTTTCATTTGTGGATGTAGTGATAAGCTGTGTTCAGACAATGGTTTTCGGAAGTGTTCCCCATGCAAAGATTTCCACTACAGAATCATGTCTGTTTTTAATGCAGTGCCGTCCGAGGGCCCAAAGATCACGTACAGCCATTATGTGTTTTCGGCCCTAGCATTCTGGATTCTCTGAATCTTTTAATGATACTACATATCGTATAATAATAATGATAATATCTTCTTTGCTGTTTGCTTATGTTGATAAAAACATTTGCCCATGCACTCTTTCACAAAATGGTGAATCCCTCCCCATCTTTACTTCTGAAAGACTCAGCTTCTCTGGGATGCTCTCTTTATACCCAGTCATGTTACTGACCTGTTGCCAATTAACGTAATTAGCTGTTAGATGTGCCACCAGGTGTTTTAGCATTACACAACTTTACAGGTCTTTTGTTGCCCCTGTCCCAACTTTTTTTTAAATGGACAAAAAAATCAAAAAGCATATATATTATATAATCGAAAGACATATATTTAAAAAAAAAAAAACTAAACATTTCTCAGCTAACATCTGATATGTTGTCTTTATACTATTTTCAATTTAATATAGGGTTATTACATTTTTATATAATAAATTCTTCTTCTTGTGTTTAGAGTGGCTATGTGTGCCTGTTTGTCTGTCTCGCTGGAGAACATTGCATTTGTGTTGCAGCAATGGTATACTAGCACGATGAACCTCCTGGGTACTTGGCTAACAGACCGCATGGACCTGCAGCTTCACCTCTACCAGCTGAAAATCCTCATCCGAATCGTGAAGGTAATGCATACTTACGTACAGCAACTCTAAACCCTAATAGCTCACAATAAGAAATAAATTTAGATGGATTGAGCGAATAATTAAATGAATGGACTCAATGGTGGACATAAGAACACAAAACTAAATCTCAGAGAGGTCAGGAATGTATTTTAAAGACTAATAGATAGACGGGATTTACATCAAGTATAACATCGGTACCTATAGCACTGCTAAGTACCGTAGAAAAGTGCCCATATCTTCCACCCTGATTCCATTATATATGTAGTTAAACACAGATAAAGCTATAAAGGGAGGTAAATAAAATCAGGAGATCACAGAGGTGGATCAGCCAAGCTCAGTCTTTCCTTTGCTGCTGCTAAATCTTGCAGCGTGATCTCCGGGTGGCAGCAGGAGCAAGACCATGTAAGTATGGCGTCACGCATTTATTTCTGTCCTTCTCAAACAGAGTGGTTTAGAGCCACCAGTCAGGCACTGCTTCCTCTGTTATGTAAACCTGAAGGACATCCATGATGTCAGACTGTTCAGACACTTCAGATCAATTTTAGACTACAATTAAAACTAGTCCTAGACTTAAACATTTTCAGGTGGAGAGTCCTACTAGTTATATTATGATGTTGGTATCAGGTTTCGGACCCAAACCATGCTGATTTACTCATACTCGTACTCATAAAAATGAATTGATACCAACATTCTGATACCAGCTGTAACGCAAGCCAAGTGTACACTGCTGCGCTAATGAACAAACACAGTGATGGAGACTCTGCTCATACAGAGAAGAGTTACTGACTCTGTGACTGTCGGACACAAAGCCACTTTAAAGATTCTGGCTTGGCAGATTCCCACCAGGAATACACTGTGTGATTTTAGCCCGTTTTAAACACACACACAAACAATCATGACCGCTTCCCCAGTACAGGTACAACTAAACAGGCGAAAAAAGTCGACATTTCCTATCAAAGATCATCTGTGCCGACTTTACTCTGTTTGACTGAGTAAAATAGCGAGGTATAAACAAAAATATGGTGATTTTTCTTTGGTAATATAGACTGTAGAGAGACCATATTGTCCTACTGTGTACATCACTGCCTGGCTTTAGCTTCCGTGAGTAGTGTTAGCAGCGCTGCTCAGTTTCTCTAAGCTCAGTAATTGGTGTGCAGCGTTCTTTTGAATGAAACAGCTTTATTTAAAACTGTTCGTAGACAAAGCTGTCTGTAGAGGCTGCGTTTCACATATAAATCGTATAAATTTCTGTATACAATGGTCTATTCAAAGGTACAATTCGAGTCACCAAAGAACAAGATTTCTAAAATCGCACAGTGTATCTATGGCTTTATAGGACATGAACTGCAGCTCAACTCAGCCAAACAAAATACTCCCAACAAGACGAAAAACTTGAAATGTAAGCTCTTCAGATGCATTAGCCTCGGACGAGATTTCTGCTGTCACTGTGCTACAGAGACTGCTGTTGAAAAAGAGAGGCGAGGATCTATGACTTGTACTGTGACAGCTGCACAGATGCTTTTCTCTTCCCTCTCTTTTCCACTTTTCCAAGTTCTAAGTAGGTTACTCAGTATGGTATCAGACTCAGTATCAGCAAGTACTAAAAATATGTACTCAGTCTGAAAAAACTAGTTTTGATGCATCAGGACAACAGCGCTGTCCAACAGGACTTCAAATTTTTTCTACAGGATTGTATTTTCTCATTGTGTAGACTTGTGTTAAGTGTTAAGGTCATCGAGAATCAGAATATTTTCTTTCTGTACTATGATACATTTCGAGTGAAACACCATCAGGACGTGTCTCTGAGACAGCTGAGCACAAGGTGGGGGTGGTGAGAGGGGGACTTTATACATGATATTATTGGTTAATAGTATTTGTCCAGAAGACATTTTTGAGATGGGCAAAGGCTTTTACATATTGGTGGAAGATTACAGGAAAACAACAGTTCTGTGTTTTACATGAACTAACAAGCTAAAAAAATTAAACGTTTTGACTTCAGGATGACTTTAAGTTTATCGTCCATGCAAAAGGCAGTGTACTGACCACTGAACTTGATGTATCCCCTGTGAAATGATATGTTACTATTTAACTTTCTTATTTCCAAAAAAACATCTGTAGAAAAAGTATCGCGATTTCCGGCTGCAAGGAGTTCTGGACTCGACTCTGAACAGCAAGATGTACGAGACGGTGAAGAACAGGCTGATGCTGGAGGAAGCTACAGCTTCTGTGCGAGATGGAGGAATGCTGGGGATCTCAATGAAGGACAGTGATGAGGAAGACAACTAGACACCACATCGGTGGTCATGTTTATCGCAACCTGTTGAAACGATGCATGTACTCTGTCCATCGTGCTCACCTTCCTCAATATTTTTTACTGTTGAGTCGTACAACCGCTAAAGGGACCAACTTCAATTATTAAGATGAGATGCTAAAAATAAACAAAAAATTGAAAGTATCTTTAATGTTTGTCAGAAGAATTATGGTAACAAAAAAAATCTATTCAAAAGCGTTTGGTGTTTTACAAATAATAATGTCCAAAATTCATCCCTGAATGTTTCGAAGCAATATGGAGTACTACTTGTAAACAATGTGGCGTGAGATGGTTAGGAATAACGCGTTGTGTCCCTGTTTAATGCAAATGTGTACGGCGCTTCTTATGTGTAATGTAAATACATGAATGGTACATAATTGTGCATAGACTTATTACTTTGTTTCTTTTGGGAGTTTTTGAGTGTATGCCAAATGAATTGACAATGTTGTATTTAAGTTGTTTCAGTTGTTAAAGGTAGCGTTTCTATGTGGTACACTTCCACAACAAATCAAGTCAGTCACAGTATCTTTGTCACCACGAGGGAACAGCCATCTTTTTTTAAAATAAGTTGGTAATAAGTTGAGATTTTAGAAATGCAATATATTCCCGTAGCTTCATTGTGATATACTTTGACTAATGTCAATAATATTTTTTATGTTTTTAAGTCATTTGCAATTTATAAATATGTTATATTTTATCTATTCTGCAATTGCATAACCTATTTGGACAAAACCTTGAGGGTGGTCTATCTATGTTCTTTCCGGCCCTTTCTATACCATTCCTAGAAATGAGCTGTCTCTGTCTGGACAGTAGAAGCCAGTTTTGCTCTTGGCCACTGTTGCTTTGTGAAATATCTGATGCTGTGCATTGCCCTTTGTGCAGGAGGTAGCATGTCCCTGTTATCCAAACACTTTCCAAAGCTCTTGATTTTGTCAAAATTAACTGATGGATTCATCTTGCTTCTGCCTTATGTACATCCACAAAAAAAGGAAAAATAAAATTGGCTTACAGTAACTGAATTAAACCGTTCTTACACAGAATGTGGTTTCATTAACTGTTTTTAACATTCTGAATTGTATAAAACATATCTTTGGCAATCTTCAGTGTTCAGAATGTCATATTTAGCATAAACTCTGCAAGACAGTGTCAGCCAAAGCCTAGCACTTTGAGAATTCTAAACTATGAACAAAATGGGACAGTAAGAGTAAAAGGTATTAGTAAGACATACAGAAATTAAAAATTTCAACCTCTTAAGCTGTACATCTTAAAATAATCAACTGACAAGGATTACAATGGGTAGACAGAGCTGTCTGTTTTAAAACTCATAAGGACAGGCAGAAAAATGCCTACTCAACACCTGCTGAGCCTTCATTACTGCAGCCTTCTCCTCACCCTCCACCCTATATCATCCTTCCAAACCCCCTCAAAAAAAAAAAAACACCATTCTCTTAAGGAAGTAAGAAAGTCTGAGATTAGCACTGTGGGATTAAGTCAAAGCTCAGCCTCGGTAGCTATATTACAGACCACAAGGAGATTGAAAGAATGGTCAAAGATCATACCCCGTCCACTCCAGCAGCAGATCACCTCGAACAGATTAAAATTACTTAAACCATTTCAAAAAAAAAACAAAAAAAAAACAAATCAGTCCTGTCCTGAAGATGAGGATTAGAGCACCCAACGCCCCAAATGGAAAGAACACAGGATATCTTAATTATTTCATACAGAGGTCAAACCAAATCCTTCCTAGAAGAGCAAATGCTAAGAAAAACAAGATTTAAAATTTGCCAGCTTAATGAAAAATAACAGTACAAACCATAAGTATTTTGCCTAAACATTTTGGCACACCCATAAAGACCACCCCATAGAAAGCTTAAAACATGAAACCTTGCTCTCTCCATCAAAAGTGCCGGCTGCCGTTCACAGCTCTATCGCAGAGGCTCAAGTGCTACACACAGATACCTTTTATTGGTGCATGTACTGGATGTGGCGCAGTAGTGCGTTGTAGTCAATTTCCTTTAGTAATTCCTTCCAGCACTACATACACAACTTCCTTTAGTTACACAGTATTAGACACCAGGCGATTCACATTGTGAAGTATAATAAAGGCAAAGTGCTCCATCTGACACCCCTGGAGCAGTGAACAGTGCAGCACAGGGAGAGAGAGACTTTTCATCTCTTTACAGCCTCAGCTCACAGACTCAATTTTGCCTGTTCTTCAGCAGCAGGGCACAGGGCAGAGAAAGACTAATGAGAGAGGCCCATTGTTGGAGTGTGTTCCCCCGGCCTGCCACTGTGACCTAATTGCAGGAGCGTAAGCTTTTGCCGAGACACCGCTCTCATTCTGATTTCTGTGCAATCAACAAGGAAGACTGAAAGAAATCGCTGCTTCTCTCTGAGCCGGAGTGCCATGAGGGCCGACTCAGATATCATACATTTAATTTCCTCATAAATCCCGTCGCAGTGCAGCAATTTTGTGAGAGAGAGTGCCCTGCGACAGATTAATAGACGAGGAGATTTATTCTGGCACGATCCGAGCTGCTGTGGCTTTTAAGCTCCAATCAGGTTAGGAAATGGGAATGATAACGGTCTCCAAATAAAAGATTCTCCAATTGACCGGCACAGCAAGAACTGGCCCCAGGTTCGCACTTGCATGCGTGCAGGAGGGGGGTCCAGAGGCGAGGACGCTAGCGAGCCCTGACATCAAACACAGCATGCGGCCTCTGAGCGGATGTGTTGGGTAAATGAAAAGCAGAAACTGGTGGAAACAAATACACGGAAAACGTAGCATAAGATCACGTTTGTGTGCCCATGTTGCGTTCGACTTAAACACTTCATTTCGAGGCCAGCGGAGTGGATCGGCACCCGCAGTGGTCTGACAGATGTCAACGTGAGGTGACAAAAACGACATGTGACTCTCACCTAGATGAATGTTTACTGAACAACATGGTTGAGGGGGGGGCATGGCTGTTGTGTGCATAGAAGGCATCAGTGTCACTGCTTTCCGTATAAACAGGTAAAAGTCAGATCCCTTCAATAAGGGCAGCTCAAAGCCTCTTAGACTTTGGTGTTTTTTAATGCCTACTGACAACCTTCTTATCTCCGCATTAAGAAGGGAAATACAACAGGACTGATTAACTTTTTTCATCTTTTCCATGAAATGAATAGCTTACTGTTTAAAGCAATCGCACACTGTGTTCTGGCCTTGACAGCAGTGCCTCGGGGGGAGACAGAGTGAGAGAGAGGAAGAGAGAGATGGATAAAGATGATGATAATCAGATGATCTGCTTCCCTCTTTAATCAAATGTGCTCTGGGAGATAAACAGTGTGGCAAAGAGAATGTGTTTATTCTAAGGCACATATTAACTGTCCCCTATCAGCTTAACTCCACAGAAGAGCTTCACTGGCCACTTTCCCTTTACTGCCCATTCAGGCTCCTTCTGGAGCAGAACTTTACCCAGAGCACTATTAAACTCAGTAAAATCACTAACACCTGCACACAACCCAGATAGCAATTTGTCGTTGATTCAACAGTGAAATATGTTCACAAACGTTGATTTATGGTCAATGTTGGTAATGACATTGACTCAACGTTGATATTTTGAGTGATTTTTGATGATGAAAAGTTGATGTTCAATCAACATTGATATAAGGGACACATTTCAACATTAAAAAGCTGATGCTGATCCAGCATTGAAACCCAGCTGAATACATTTTTAAAAAATTGCAATAGCATCCTGTGTGTCATTAAACTCAAGACAACCTAACCTTTTTAAAAGCAAAAATCAGAAACATCACTTCTACATTTGCTTGCTAGTTAAAGCAATTTAAGGCTCAAGTATTATCATTTGAAAATATTCAGAAAGGAATAAAACCTTCAAATAAGTGAACTAGGCAGTTGCTGTGAGCTCCTGAAGCTACAGTTATAACAAGCTGGTCGAATTTGTATTTAACTTGGAAAAGGTGCAGAGGCCAAAAAGGACAACACAGTGGGTAATGAAATGGACCCTTTTCACACTTCCATATTCAATGCAGCAGATGTCATTATAGCAGGTTAAACTACTGCTACAGCAACAGCACCATTTACAAACGATAATGTAAAGGACACACATCTTTTTACATTAGGTATTTACCTAATTTTTCAAAAGACACTGTTCGTTTGGTGAAGCTTTTTTTGTTTTCAGAGCAGAGCAAGCGTACATTAAAAGCAGGCTATTGATGCCTGTTGCTTCAGCACTGGATAAGCGAACAGTACAGATTTAAAGAAAGTAAAAAGATGTCAGTGAATAAATGAAGTGTAATCTGTGACAATGGCTATAAATAAAAGAAAAACTGGTAGTATTATACTAATTAACTAACCTTTAGTAGATTTATATGACTGTCGCTGAATTGAAAACAGAAGTGTGAAAAGAGTCTAAAACCCTGCACACAGAAGACTGGAGGTTAAATCCCTATCCAGGCAGCACTGCCATGCAGGAATAAAAATCTCCAGGAAGGTCTTCAGGTAAATGCTGCACTATTGTAAGTTGCAGAGTTAGAGTGCACTACTTTAAGCTGAAGAGTTAGAGTGTCTGCTGAAAGAATTGAGTATGCTTTCAATGTTAAATCAGCACTGCTCAATCATGAACACAGCACAATTTATCAATGTTAAATCAACATTAGTACTAAGCAATTAGATAAACGATTATTTAATCATCACCAAGTGCTCTTGTATCAACACTGTATCAATGTTCAACATAACAAGCAAGATCAATGCAAATTCAATATTACTATCTGTGTTGATTTACTGGTTTTGTCAAATCTGAAATCAGCTTTGTTTCAATTTGTCATTTGCCAGTCCTCAAATGTACACTGCACACTAGTCAGTTTACTGTAATAGCCCCATGGTAATAAGCTAAAGGGCTGAACAATGCACATCAAGCCCTTATCAGCAAATTACGTGACAAAGATTACAAGCTGGGACAAAAGCCAAGAAGTCTCTGACAGTTCAGTTTTATATTAAATGCCATGCTGTACATTGAGAAACACTCTAATTAACAAATGAATAATGAGGAACAACAATCCACTTTGTACTGAAATGTACATACTGGCCTGTTTGACAAGAATTTTCTGATAACCCGAGACGCAAAGACAAACAGACAAACAAATATGCTTCAGTTCTCCTTAAAGTGGATAATCAGGCCCTTAAGCACATTCACCTCATGTGCTCTGCAGCATCATGCAAATCAAGTATGTCCCTCATTTTAAATGCACCTGTTTGTTTGGCCTCCAGTGAATATGCTAATACACAGACTTGCTCATGCAGCCCTGGCCGTGTTCTGCAGTAAACCACATCTCGAAAGGCAAACAAGGGCCCTGCAGGACCAGAGGGGACGTCCCCTTGTCCACTTTGTGGTTCAGATCTAATTTGGTGGACAGATGAGCGGCTGAGGACGCAAAGCCGGCAGAGGGGATGCAGGGACGCGCAGGTTACTCTAACCTCTCCCTCCTGTCAGCCCTCCTTACCATTGTCCTGGGAGAAAGAAAACCTCATTCAGACCCTTTCGCTCCCAGCATCAAAGGTGCTTCGGAGCCCCCCCTCACTTTTGGAAAGCCTCCGCCATTCAGAACTAACATTATGGAGAACCTTCAGCGCTCGGGTGAGGGTCAGAAAAATAGAGAGAGATGAAAAAAGGAGCTGGAGCCAAAGTGGCAGGAATCCTCGCTAATTGAAAGGAAGGAGGGAAAAGAAAAAGGAGAGGAGGGAAGAAAGGTGGGCTAAAAGACAGTTTAAAAGCAGAAAAGAGCTGGCAAAGAGAGCAGGCAGCTGACAGAATGCATCGTGAGGGCTGCAAGACACTCTACACTTTACACACGAATGGAAAAAAGCATGAGCTAAGAATTAAGTGACTGAATGCCAACTTGTATAGATCTGTGTGTGTGTGTGGATCCTGAAGAGAACTGAACAGACAGGCAGTGTGTGTTGAGAGAGTGGTGGGGAGTGGAGGTGAGATACACAGACTGTGACAGGCTCAGGGAACGCAGGCAGGC